TCCCCTTCCTCTGTGTGTGTGTGTGTGCGTGTGTGTGTTGTAAGTCCTAACGTGGGTCTACCTCACAACGACGAAGGCCCACCCACCGCATCCGGCACCCATGCTGTGCCCCCACCCCCCGTCACATCATCCAGGTGTCAGCTGAGCTGAGGGCGGGGAAGCCGGGCCTGGGGGTGCCACGGAGCAGCCACAGGGGTCCAGTGGAAGCCCCCTGTGAGTCCCACCATCTAACATCTCCCCCTGCTCTCCTGTGCCCCCATTCCCCTCCCCCCCACCGTGGAATCAGGCCCTGGACTGGGTGGAGGGATGAGGAAGGGGAAGGGGAGGCCCCTGTTGCGGTGTTGGAAAGATGCGCAGAAATACCCCAGGAGGTGGCCCCCGTACCTGGGGACTTCAGGCACTCTGCACGTGTCCGGGGGGCAGTCCCTCTCACTAGGGAGGGAAACAGACAGCACTCAGCCCAGGGCGGGTCCTGGGGGAAGCGCTCCCGGGCCAGCGATGCCATGGCCCCTGCGAGAAAGCTCCCGAGTGCGGCGGAGCTGGGGCCCTGAGGCCAGGCCAGTGGACGGGGGTCTGAGCAGGGCCCAGAAGCCCCGGACACGTGGCCGTGCCTGGGAGCTCGATGCACAGGTCCACCCTCGGGTGGTGACCACAGCCTCGGGAAGACACCCCACCATGGGAAGGAGGAGCAGAGACCAGGAGGCAGGAGCCGGAGCTGCCCCCGTGGGTCCTGGAACCCCCCAGGGGGTGTCTAGCAATGCCCCCCCACCCACTCAGCTCTGGGAGCCCCGCTCCCCGCCCCTCACCTCCGCTGCGTCCTTTCCTGCAGCACCCCCTGCGGGGTCACGGGATCCCCATCGCCATTGCCATCAGGGCTGAGGGAGGAAACGTTCCATTGACTCACTTCATGAAAAGTAGCCATTGCCACCAAAGAGCCATGTCTTCAAGAGAGGGGGCGCCCCAGACAAGGATTAGGTGTGCACCACCCACCCCTGAAGACCCAAGCCAGGCCTAGAGAGGGGAGGAGGGGAGGACGGAGGAGGGGAGGAGGGGAGGAGGGAGGACGGAGGAGGGGAGGAGGGAAGAGGGACACAGGGAGGAGGGGAGGAGGAAGAGGGG